GGTATGATCTCTTTGATCCTACCATCAAAACAGCTTTTTTGAGGCTACTAAGCCCTTCTCTCTTTTCATCTGTTTAATAACAGAAGTAAATGAACCAAGATAATTAGATTTTAAATAAAAATTGTCATTTATAAATACCTCATTTTTCTTTTTCATGTTTGAAATTCTGGTGACAAAAAAAAAGGAAAAAAAGAATGATGTTAGGAATGAAGACAAAAAGAAGAAAAAAGGCAAATAACCAAACAAAATAACAAGTGACAAAATTATTTCTGCTGAAAGAACTTTAAAAACTGAAGGAAATTCAAATGAAAAAAATAGATTATTTGTATTACTGAAGCTGCTCTTTTTCTATCTGCAAAACATTAATGAACACAGTTGGATTTTGAGAGTTGTCTTTATTTACTGAAATTAGTCCTTTATATACTCTTCATTTACTGAAATTACTTTTGCTTGGCTTTTGAAATTTCTAGGATTTTTTTTTTAACGTGAAGAACTGAAGAAATTTCCTTTTTACCAGTCAAATTAATTCTATTTTTTAGTTTTTCCGTCAAAATTCAGTACCTTTGACTTCTGAGCTACGTTCTGGTTCCTTCCTGGACATTCTGCCACCTTTTCAGGTTGTGCTCTGTGATCTCTCTTGGATGGTTGTTTGATTCTCTTTTTTTCTCTTTCTGGGCTCTTATTGTTAGACTATATTCTCTTGTAGGACTGTTCTTACTTACTAAAAGGACATATTCCTCCTTGTTGACATTTCCTATTAGGGTATGTGCTGCTATACTGAGGAATATGTTTGCTTAGAGCCTTTGCTCTAATAAAGTATTTGACAGTGAGATACTGAATGTCATCTTCTTGGTATGGATGAGGGGGGATGATTTAAACTCAGGAAGATTTAGATTAGATGTCAGGGTGGAGCAGTGAGAGTGACAAGGTGCTGGAACAGGCTGCCCAGAGAGACTGTGGATGCCCCATCCCTGGAGATATTCAAAGCTAGGTTGCATGGGGCAAGGCAACCTGCTTGTTGAAGGGAGGTTGGGGCTTAATAGTCTTTGATGTCCCTTCCAACCCAAGCCATTCTGTGATTCTATTATTTTATTCTGTGTTGAGAGACAAAGCAACAAGTAAAGTTACCATCTCTTGTGGAAGCTTTCCTTAAAGAAACTTATGCTGTGTGTGTATTCCTTAGGCAATTTATAACTATAGAAAGAGGAGCTCAGAGGCAACACTGTGCCTTACAAATCAGCAGCCTGAACTTCTGAATTTCATAGAAATTACTTTGTGAGGGATCGCAGCCACTGTCAACAGACTTTTCACAGTCTGGCCTACTAAATTTCCTCCAAACCTAATGCTCAGTAACTAGGCTAAGGTACAACTGTGCACATGGATAGCTGCATGTGATGAAGCCGAAGCTGGAATAAAACTTCCATCTGTCTTCTCTAAAAGACTCTTCAGAAAAGAAAAAGAAAAATCTAGTAGTATAAAGCTGATTTTGCTCTCTTATTAAGAATTGGATCACTTATTCAAGATTTCCAGATGTTATTGTTCTGGCAGTGCTTCAACTGTGCTCAGCTACCAGAATTCCTTGGGTTTCTTCTTGAAAGACTTCTGTCTCCAAAACAATGTTTTCCATGCTAATAGCCTGGAAGATGGTCAAAGATTTTCCTAGCAGTGCAAGTAAAAGAATGCAGAGTATTTAAAAGTCCATCTGAGACTATTTGCTGCTTTGACATTCTCCCATGAATGGATTTTCTTTATCCAAATGGGAAGTCAACTTAGAAAACTTTGGAGTAGTGTCTTCTTTGATTAGACTATTGCAACCTTTTTGCTGTTTTTGAATGAATATGCTAAGCTTTCATTATTCTCAGTGGGAGGGATTCATTTCTGCAGAAAGGAACGTTGACTCCCAACAATCTTCTAAGCATCTTTTTGGCTCATGTTTTAGAAGATTGTCTACTGTAAGTTATTTGTTGGTTTGTTTTTTGTTTGTGTGGTTTTTAGACAGTTTATTATTAAAAGTAGTTGACTGAGAAGGTGGGAGAACAAAAGAAGCTATGAGCTAATAACCTAACCATTTAGTATTCTCCCAGAAATCAAGTCATTCATGATAACATGTGAGACAAAGGACAGGAGCCCAAGTCACAGGACTTGAAAAGTCAAGATCCACAGCTGTATTTCCATTTTGTCTGCCATTTTCTCTGCTGATGTGAATTTTAATTATTAAGCTTGATTTGCATATTTTCCCAGAGGTTATTTGCATGTTGAATATAGGATGGTAGAAGTGAAATGTAGTATTTTTATTTAAGCCTTTAAAATCCCTTTGGTTTTGTCTGTACTTCTTTATTTTTAAAGATTTTTTTTTCTTCTTCAGGAAAATGTAGGCACTTATTTCAGAGCTTTTTCGTTTGCTGTTATTTTTTCTTTGTCTCAATTAATATATTCTCTTTATTGAGGTGGAGAAAAGTGAGATATTAGTACAGATTTCTGTAAGATTACTTACATATCTTTGTGTGCTGTTGTTTTTTTCCTTTGTATTTGCCAGTGGCCTTATTATAGTAGTACTCTTGGGTATAAGATCTGCTTTTATTTGTAGGATGGCAAAACGGAGGGATAAGTGGTTTTGGTTTTTTTTTTTAATTTTCTTTGAAGGGACCTCTCTGCCTTTTGTACATCCCACATCTTTTCCTTCATTTCTGCTTTTTACCATCCCAACTTTATCCCCTCATTGTCAAGCTGAAGAAGAAAGCGGCTGACTAATCTTAAAGGTAAACAGCTGTCACAAATCCTTCAGGTTTTTTAATTCCATGCAGTACAAATGGTTTGCTTTTTTTTTTTTTTCCCTCTTACATCCCTGAAGGCAAAGGGCATATAGTAAATAAAAAAGTTAATTTCCTTCCATCTCTCCCTTTTTCTTTTGTATTTGCAAGTAAGTTAAGGAAAAAAATAATTGTTCAAATCAAAGATATGATAAGTAAAACTTAAATTTCTGTAGCCTGTCTTTTTTTGTTTTAGTTTATTGTCCTTTACTGTTAAGACAAGTGTAGCACTATCAAAATTTCTGAAAAACATTTTAAAGCTGTTGGTATACCTTAGGAAGTATGTGCATGGAGTATTATATTACATGTAAATGAAAGGACTGGAGGGAATGGCCTCTCGTTGTGCTGGGGTAATTCAGATTGAGCATTAGGAAAAATTTCTTCTCCAAAAGAGTGATCATGTGCTTGAGTGGGCTGCCCAATGAGGTGGTTGAGTCACCATCCCTGGAGGTGTTCAAGAAACATTTAGATGTACTAAGGGAAATGGTTTAATGGGGAAATATTGGTGGTAGGTGGTAGGTTGGATTGGATGATCTTGGAAGTCTTTTCCAGTGCTTGTGATTCTATGATTCTGTGATTCTACTTCTCTTTATTTGGACACATTTAATGACCAGATAATTATTTATGTGATGAATTTGTGAAATGAATTTTGAAATGTGGTGTAATAATTCTACTTTTTCAGGGAGTCTTTTATCCCCTTACACTAACACATTGTTATAGTAGAATATTTTAAAACTCATTTCAGGTATCACAGTAAAAGTCCTGAGAGATCACTTGACCTAGCTTTTACTTTATTACTTGGAAATTTCCTTTCATTGATACCTTAGAATGAAGAGTAATACATTTTTCTAATGCCAGTAAAGTTAAAGGAAGAACTGTTAAAACTTTCTCTATTGAGAGGTGTCTTTTCCTCTTCCACTGAACCCTGCTTGGTAGAGGAGAACCAAATTTCTTGCTTTTTAAGATAAAAAAAACAAGCAAGTTTTTTTTGCACCAGTAATGTATCTTACTAAAAAGTGTTTTAATTTCGGAATTGTCTTAGAATACTTAGATGTATTTGAAATAGTAATATATAGAGTTCTTATTTTCATTTCTTTAACTTGCAATTAAAGGATTTTCTTTTGAATTCTTTTTTCTTTTTGAAGCTCATGTGTATTTGTAGAATGCTAAATTAATCTACACTTTTTAATTTAAAATTCTGTCATCTGCATTTAAAAAATTTAAGTTCTGTACTGTGACATTACTTGGCTATGATATTTGCATATTTCTCTTTCTTTGTTGTATCTCCTACTTTTATTGACTCATTGCTGCTTATCCCACTACTATGCCCAATATTTGGGGCAAGGACTCTGTTAAATGTAGACTCAGCGTACATCTTAAGTCTTTGACTTTTAAACATTTATGGTAAACATAAAATAGAGAATCTGGAAACAAATGTGACTACTGTTTAACACATTTTATGTCCTCCAGTTCTTTAAGATATTTTCTTAATTCGGGAAATATTATTTGCAGGTAGAAAATGTTTTTTAAATGATCCAATCAACTAACCACAGTATTTAAATATTTACTCTTCTGCAGATAAAGGAAGCACCATGAAAAAAAAAAAACAAAAATAACCTGCAATTATTTTCATTTGGCTTAGATGTAATGATTCTCCATGGTATCCTCCTCTCTTTGATTATTCCTTATATAAAATTGGCTGTAATACAGTTTCCTAATGAGAGGACACAGTTTCTTCTGACTAAGTACAGTTACTGCTTATTAGCATTTCATCAATTTCAGTTTTTCACAGAATAAAAGGAGAAGCATAAGTTTTCAAATTAAAGAATTTAGCAATTTTTAAACAATCTGGAGAAATATTCAACTAAAGTTTTGATGTTGTACTATATGACCTTTTTTGTTTCTTTGCTGGACAAGCAGAGTTCAGATAGTTATAACATGAAAAAAAAAAGACAAAAACCCAAAACACAACAACAACAAAAAGCCACCCTTCCTTCTCTCCCTCTCGCCAAATGCACTTCATGTTGATAAATGGTCTTGGTCACTGTATTAATAAGCGATGATTCTAAAATATGAATATACTGAGACTGAAACTTATTCTACAGCTTTTCGTTTTCCCTTTCCTTATTCTTCCCACTTATGTGTGAATCTATTCATTGATGGGGTTTTCTTCCTTTTCTTTGGTTTCAGATGCGAGTGTCTCTCTGGTTTATGTGGTTTCCCCATGTGCGAGGCAGGCTCCGTTCCTCAAATAGTTTCACGTGGAGATGGAACACCTGGCAAGTGCTGTGATGTCTTTGAGTGTGTCAATGGTACGTGAAGTTTTCTCTTGTACCTGGAGAGGAGGATCTTGTGTCTGTGGGAGAACCTGGGTATATGGTTATTCATACTATATTGTCAAGATTTGAGAGATATAATTTTCTTTGAGTTCATTCAGTAAGAAGTAACTGGAAGTTTAATTGAAGGTTTATAGTGGGAAAATGTCATTTGTAAGTTGTGTCATGTTTCTTTAATTCTAAAGTATTTTTTTCTCTCTAAACCCAAGGAGTTAGAATTTTAGTGAAAAGCTCCCTCACTCTGTGTTTTCCAGGTGCTTTTTTGCCAGTTACAAGCACTAGATCCTTTTTAAAGTGTTGGTTTGTTTGGTTTTTCTTTTCGCTAAGAATTGAATCTCCTTCTTGCAGTGTTGTGAAGAAGAACTGTTTAGACTGTTGGGTTCCCTCTAAAAAAAAAACACTTTAAATAAACACAGTAACTTTTAGCACAAGTGTAAAACCCTTGGAAATTGCAATTCAGTATAGGAATAGACTGATTCTTTTTTTTTTTTTTTTTCCTTCCTGATGGAAATATTTAGAAAAAATTATTTAAAGAGCTTAAATTTGTTAAGCACATTTGTTATTTTTGATTTGTTATGCAAATCTCAGGATTGCTCAGAGTTGTGTGTGGTGAGTTGGAAGAGACAAATATTCAGCTGTTGGAGAAAAAGATGCTTGAAAGGCTGCATGGTCAGATAATTTCTGAGCATAAAAAAATTACATGTTGGTTAAATATTTACTTATTTATTTTATATACTTAAATATTTGTTAAGTGTTATTTAACATTGTTCCATTGTGTGTGATGACATTCTTAAAACTATTTTTGCATTCTTTACTGCATATGCACATAAATGTGTACATATCTAATATAGACACTCCTCTAGGAGAATGTTTCTGATGTTTACACATAAGAATATTCTTATACAGTTTTCCTATTGTTATAATATCTATTTAATGATATAATTAGGAGAATAGAAAGCTGTCGGGATCATCAGTACTGATCTTCTGAATTACCTTGACATGAAGGAATAACTTCACATAGTCTGCAATTTAAAAAAACAAAAAAAAACCTAGTTAGTGTATGTGGTGTGACTGCATTGTGTTATTAGGTGACACTAATGATGTACAGTGTTAAAGCACACAAGCCTTCTGTACTTCATATGTGTGGATGGGATAGGGTGGTGGAGAGCGGGGAGGCTGTCTGGAAAGGGAAGAGTTGGTTGTCCCCAGGCAGAACTGACTGGTGTTGAAGGGTGGTATAAGGGCAGCAAAATACAGATAACATAGAGACTCCGTTAGCATCATATTGCCTTTGCTGTTTGTCAGCGTTTGAAGTCAGGTCAGTGTTTTTTTGACAAAAGCTTTTCCTATGTGTAATATTGAGCTGTTTTGGAAGTTCTGCAACAGATTTGTAGGTCTTGTGTGGTTCTCTTTGTAACAAGTACATGCTATCTCAAACTAGCACTGGCTCGATCCATCAGAAAAATATGCACTGAGATACCTCAGTAGCAGTTATTCTTGCATGTTATGTAGCTGTTGTGGTTATTCCTGTCACATTGTAAGCACAGCAGTAAGTCATTACATTCATTGTGGCTTTTAATCTGAAATTTACTTAGGTTGCTCCAAAAGTAATGCCTCCTGTTTATTTCCATGGAAACTACAACAGATACAAAGAGCACAACACTAGTTGATAGAACAAATTCTTAGCTACAAAATACTATTTCTCAATAAAGCCACCACCATTAGCTTTGCATTTTCACCAGCAATGAACAAGAGCTTGTATCTGTACCAGCGGAGGTGACCCACTGTCACCACTGCTGAAGCACACCACCACCACCTCACTGTGTTCACATCCACAATTTTGTCTCCATGAATGTTCAGCAAGTGCCAAAGTGTGTCAATGAGTGGCATTTTTTCTACATGAAGGAACTCAGTGACACCCTTTTACTTCATATGCACTTCCATGTCAGACAACATTCTGTCAGACTGCCATTTTGCTGTCGCCTGTCACACAGCAACAACATGTAGTGGAATATTGTTGTGAACATTCACCCTCTACTGCCAACCCACCGCTATCTTTTTCTGCTGTTGCGGGCCAACATTGGAGGCATTACTTTCAGAGCAGCCCTGGTATATTGGTGTGCCTTCATGTTCCTCATCCTATGTAATCTCCTGTTTCTTATAGTCTGACACATAATCATGTAAATATTATTTCTAACCAAAACATATTATTCCTGCTTGGAAACAGTTCTGATGTTTCAATTTAATGAAATTAGATTTTATTATTAAGTTACATTGTATCTACAGTCTTTGGCTGTTCAGCATTTAGAAAGTGTTTTGAACAGCTTTCTTGTTGATAATGTGCACAAAATATGCTTCAGAGAGATGCTCCATATATTTCTTTCTGAGATTTTAATTGACATCAATATAAGCAGAGAACAGAAGATTTTACGTAAAGATTTGACTGGACACATCTTTTCTATTTTTTAAAACACTGCTTTGGTTAAAATAATTTACCATGAACTTAGAAGAATTAGAAGAATTCTTAGAAGAATTTACCTGAACGGGTATTCAGATCTTTCCTTCTAGACGGTACTAGATAGCATGTTATAATATGGGAAGAAAATTGAGCAAGAGATTCCTTCACCCTGCATTTTACTGAAGTGAATTTGAGGTTTCTCCAGATCCACTCAACTTTTATTACTCATTTATTTTTTTCTGCTAGCAGTGGTGCACTGCCTTCTCTCATGGGAGAGGCTGTAAGGAAAAAAATGATTCCGCATTCAATTACAAGCATCAACAAATGAATCTAAATAGATTGAAGGCTACATGTGCAGCAAGAGTGGAAGTGTTTGGAAACAAGAGAGCATCCAAAATGCCTGTTCTCTAATTAGGTATTGACGCATGGCCCTCTTGAATGTAGGTTGTGCCGTAGCACATACTGGCTGGGAGCTATGCCTTTAGAAATTTGAGAGAGCAAATTGCCAAGCATCCTGCAGCTGCTTTCTTCTGTCAGACAGGGCTTTAACTTTTGAATAAGCTTCCTTGAATGCAGCAGCTACTTTAAAAGGGTCTCTGATGGCTTTATGGAAAACACGGCCTTGTTACTGTGTCCAAGAGCTCCAAGGTGGATGGGAGAAGGCTGCTTTCTGCCCCAACCTTGCCAGGAGTGGCTTAGAAGCCCTGCAGCTCCTTCATTGCCCCTGAAGTTGAAGGCCAGTCTTCTGTTGCCCTTCCCCTTGAGAATGGAAGTACCTAGTGCATGACCCAAAATAACAAGCTGACAGTGATGACAACTGCCACAGGGAAACTGTGACCCCTTCTATATTGCTTTTCCAGGCTTTACTCATGATAACATGGAAGTGAGCTCCTAAATCATCAAGCTTATTCACTCAGTGTGACATATAACCTATGCTTTATGATGGCATCTGTAAATTTTTTTCCAGATTTGAGAAGATATCACTGATGTATTCAAGTCGTTTCTCTTTCATTCTGTATCTCCTGGTTTCCTTCACACTTCTGGCTCTATAAAGGAGGTACCGCATTGGAGGAGAGCTTCACTAATCACACTTCTTGTCACCTGTTGATGCCATTACTCCTCACAGGCTTTATTATTCTGTTATTAAGCTCACAGTGTGGAAAATGTTGAAGGTAGTGCCATTACTTATAAAGGGAAATATGAATCATATTTTTCTAAAGGGTGCATCAGTGAGTGCTAAAAACATTTGATAGGGAGAATATGGTGCCAGCCTGAAACATTTTCACTACAACAAATAGGTGGATCCAAGTAGAGCACTCCACAAGCATCAGTTTGTTGTAGGATCCCATTATTCACTATACTAAGCCTCACAAAATGTATGCGAGAGGAAAATATTATTTTCCATATACACAAAGAAATAAAGATTTGACCAAGTTAGTAGAGTCTGCCCTAGAGCAGAGAACTGAGTATAATCCTGATCCTAATTAAATATAACTGCATGTTACTCTCCAGGCATCTAAAACCAAACAGGGACATGTTCTAGATTTGATCTTGACAAATAGTGGGGATTGTATGAGATTGCAAAGATGGAAGTTAACTATGAAACGGTAGGTTTTGATTTTCCTAGAACAGGAGTGAGAAGCCAAATGATACCTGGACTCCAAGAAAGCAACTTCAATAAGTTGTCAAAGAGCAGGAAGGATCCTATGGAAAATGAATAATGAAAAAAAAATGGTATTAATGAAAATTAATACTGTTCTTTAAAAAGTGAGTAGAAAATTTACATTGCTGAAGTGATAGTATGGGTAGTGCAGAATGGATTATTTTGGATAAGGCATTACTGGAATTTAAGAAGAAATGGTACAAAAAATAGGATTGGAGTCAAAATGCAAAGGATTATTATTTTGAAAATATGCATAATCAGTAACGAATGGCAAGATGCAAAATGTGACTTGTGGGGAGCAAAAGACAACAAACTTAAGTAAGTAATAAATGGAACATTAATACTAAAGGAAGGTAATCTTCATATCTTTTTGAAAATAGGCTCAGTAGTTATAGGGTGCATTTTGTTTTTTTTTCAGATTTCTTACTTCGCAGAAAACCTACTGCTAAGCATTATTATTTAGCTATAATGCCAAACCACAACCTTGTGTTAACTGATTTGGGTCTTTTTCCTGCAATTTTAAACTTCTCTCATGCGTTGGAGGCAGATCACAGGTGGGCTTGTGATGAGTGATGAGCTACGGCAGTTCTTTCAACGGTGCTGAGATTTTTGCAGGTGCTTGTGTCCTACTGACATGCCTAGAGCTAAACAGATTACAGCATGTACTTTCTAGTTTGGTAGATTGACAGAGAGTACTGATATTTAATTGTATTCCTCTGTTACATAGGGCATGGTTTGTTTCCAGGAGTTGCTTGGCAATTTTGTATACAACATTTGGCTCAACAAGGAGATTTTAGAGTACTGCCACAGCGCTTGGTGGCCCCAGCTCCTCCTTTGGCTGTCCAGGTGGATTTCTGTGCTACATCTTTAGCTTACTGCATGATGCTAAAAAGATTTTTTCTGGAAGGATATATAGATAAAAGGAAGACAGCCTAGAGGAAAGCCAACAATCAGACATTTAGAAGCATAAAGTCATACAGCAAAAATAAAAACTGAAAGGAATGTATGTATTTAAGCCTCAAGAGGAGGTGGAGATGGAGACACCCAGGATCAGTCCACTTAAAAGCAAATATGCAATTTGGGAAAAAATAATAGAAAGCATTATATATACCCGGCAGCTCTGGAGATGGGAAAAGTAATGAAACTTGGATAAGTTACATTTTCTGTGTGTGTTCTGTCTAACCTGAATTACTCTTGCTGCAATTTGAACTTTGTAGCTGTAGCTGAACTGTGGTATTCTTTGGTAGTTTGCAGTTTCTTAGTTACTGATGGGCTTAAAGAAAAGGCAAGACTGGGAAGGTGTTAGGTGGAGCTGCTTCTGTTGTAGTTGTTTCTGTTGTAGTATCTTTCTGTGCTCTTCTCTCCTCCCTGCATGGTGACTTGAAAATAAGTTTTCCTTCTCTTAAAGGCAGTGCCACAAGGTCTTGTCTAGTGTTAAAAGAAAAAAAAAAGGAAAAAAAAAAAGGCATCAGTATCAGCCTGTGCAACTGTCTTTCCTCTGAATAAGTTGCTGGGTTACTGGAGTGGAGTCTGCTGGTGAGGTAGACAGCAGTAGAAAACAGTTGATGGAGATAGGCACTGTGTATAGCTTAAGGCATCTGGATATGTAAGTGGTTTCTAGTGGGATGATACAGACTTCCTCTACTAGAAACCTCACTATGTAAATCTAAATTTTTCCATTTGGTTTAAATGTGAATTTTTCAGTGTTGCAGTTTTCTATGGTTATTACGCCTCAGTGTCCTTTTCTTTCACAGTCTGCAGATGCAACAAAATAACAAGAAACAAAATAATGTTTCTTTCCTTCAAATAATTACATAAAAGCATGTAAAAATAATTACATTGACTCATAAATAATAGTTAACAGGTTTGTCTTAGTCCTGATTGATGTTCCTAGATGCAAGACTAAAGGACTTTGCAGAGTGGTTCCACAGATGTGTTAACAGGGAATACATTGCACAGAGTACTAAAGTTCGAAGAGTAAGAAGCCAAATATTTTCTTCCAACTGGCTTGCTTTGTTATGTTTGCAGGTAAACAAAAGCATACAATGTGTTGCCTTTTTACATTCTATGAACTAATTCAACTGAAGTTTCTCCTTTTATTTTCTAAACTCCTTATCAGCTGAACTTTTGAAAAACGGAAAGTTTTTCAGTATTTTGTTTATATTGACACAGGGCTGAAGTTTGTCAGCTTCCTTCCCTTTCATTTAATGGAAAGTTCACAGCACTTGCACCAATTCCTTCCAGGAGTCTGGTACAAATTCTTCTGTAGACTGAAAGAATGTCCAAAGTGCTGCAACTACAAATCTTTTCGTCCTTTAAACAACAGAAAATTGTTTTGAATCTCTCTTCTTCTTCAGATGGGCTAGAAGAAAATGCCCAAACTTGCCTGGAGAGAGTTGATGCCTGAGCATCTTGTGTACTTGAAATAACCGTGCGCAGAATAATGCCTAGCAAAGACTGGATTGCAAAACTCATGCACGTTTCTGAGTTGTTCTGTAACTTTAAACAAAGATAACCAAAAATACAGGGAGTCTACAGAGGTCTGTGTAACAGCAAATTTGTTTTGGAGTGGTCCAGCCTTTAGATCTTTATTAGATTTAAGGGTACAAAGTAAAACACCATAGAAAACTGATTTGGTAAAAAAAAAAAATTGTGTGTCTGCAGTTTGAAGATAAAGGTCTTCAGAAATGAGTACTTTCTGTGTCCACGTAGCACATGTCTGCATGTCTCAGCGCAGCTTTGACTATAGGAACTCTTGCAGGACTCAGAATATAAAGGATGGTGCCCACTGAAGCAATCTCTAGAGCAAAATTTATGCCAGAGTTCTCCTTGATTTAACTGTGGAGCAGGAACTTCAATATCGAGTCAGCTGTGCCCTCTTAGTCATGCATAACTTGATATTGTAGCACAGATCTGATATCTGTCCCATCACAGTCGGTGTAAAGCCAGCCGGAACACTTCATTGTGCTGGGTCATGTCTGCTCTGCTCTGGCTCCTTCCACAGGTTTGTGGCTAACTGTCTGTGCCCAGACTAGATCTTCTGTCATAGACTAACTGATAGCTGGCAAATGCTGAAATCAGTTTCATGAATCCATGGTCTGGGCAGCTGCCTCATACCTACTGTGTCATTTGGTGGTTGGTATCAGAAAAGGGATTTCAGTTTGCAGGTACACTTGACTGCTTGATGCTGTGCACTTCAGTCTGTTGTAACTGTTTTGTCACATGGGGAAGTTTGGTTCTTGAAGAATTTTATATGCAGCATTTTCTCCAATGCTCAAATAATAAATTCGTGGTTGCCAGCCTTTCAGAAAAGGTTGTGTTTATTTAATGATAGCTTTATACTCGTTCATTCTGTCATGGCTATTATATGTTGGTCAGTAAAGCAATAAAATTACCACTATTTTAAACAAAAACAAGTGAGAGAACTCTGAGTATCTTCCAACATACCCCACTAAAAGAAATGTGTTGGTTCAAATTCCGCAGGGAGATGTTGGATTTTTTTATTAGACTTTCACTTTTGTATCTGAACCTGGAGTTCTTATTATGTTTGTTCTGGCTTGACTGAGTCATTAGAGTGCACAGATCTAGCAACAATAATCCTTGTCTTATAGCTGAATGCATATGGGTAGCTCAGTAGTTCAGTGTGAATACATGTACACTACCATAAATCTTGTTTGTAAAAATATACACACAATGACATTTTATAGCATTTTTCATTGTAAGAATAAAATAGATTGTTTCCTCTCAGGAGTTACAGTTTCTTGCTTACTGTTGTTTGGACATTTTAAAAATGAATGATAATTCATGGAAGATGTATCTACTTTCCAAACTAGGCAGAAATTGAGATCTACTTTTAGAAGGAGGGGAGGAGAAAAGTAAAGAAAAAGCAAAAAAAAATCTAGAAAGCTGCAATCAAAATAGTAAAGTCAGAAACAAATGGATTTAAATGCCTTCTAAGTTCTTGGCACTTTTTCCTTTTTAAGAAGGTTTTTAGACTAACAGCTTGAGCTACATAAACTTGAAATATTTTTCAAGTGTTTGTTTATGTGAATAGCTTTCTAATGAGGTCATAGCTGTTTTCCCGGACACAGTGGTATTTCCTCTTTTTACTCTTTTTTTTTTTTTCTTTTTTTTTTTTTTTTTAACACTGCTTTCTACATTATGCCTTGAAGACTGAAGAGGCATGTAAAAATCAAAGATTGCTCAGGATAATTCCAAGTTTCAACTCTAACATTTTAGTCATATTAAATGACTTGAGACTGGAGCTCAGCATAAGTGTGAGTGCAGGGAACTACTAAGGTCACTGAGATACTTCAGAATTTTGAAGAAGCCCTACATTAATGTCAAGAATAACCTATATGAAAAGTCTTCAGACTCCAAAATTAAGAAGATTCAGCAAATCCTGGATTTTTTATTTAAATATTTTCATCTCCCATGTGAGATTGAGTACTAAGAACAGCAATAGAAAACCTAACCTCAAAGCAGTTATAATTATCACCTTCATGTGTCTGTTTTATGCATGTGAGTGAGCAAACAGTCTTCCATGTAGTCTGTGGAATTCAACAATGTATGCAATTGCCTGCTTTTTAATTTTGGCTTCGTGTCTGAAACAAGTTGCTTCCTTTAACTCAGATGTTTTGGTTTTGAAAATGATAGATTCATAACTACTGAACAAATACATCTGCTTAGTGGACACTTCAGGTCTCTGTTCTCAAGTGTCTCGGGCAAGTTTCAGAAAAGATCTAGAATTTTAAGTTATTCCATAATGGAAAAGAGAAAGGAAGCTTCAGTGAGTAATATAATGATAAAATTGTGAAGTCATGACTTCCTAATGACTAATGTGGTATAGAATGTGGTATGTTATAATTGTATTTGTTCTACAGAGTCAAAACTCTTCTGTGATTCAGCTGTACAGCACAGTATGTACATCTGTAGCTGGCTGAACTGAAAACATGTCCTTCAAGTCATATCCCAAATATTTAGGAATTTTTAGAGGCTTTCAGTTTCCCCGTCAGTTTGGATTGAATCATAAGTTAAGGTTCTGCTGTACAAGAAATAGTCAAAACAGACTTGCTGTTTTTTAAGAACACCAAATGACCAGATAATGGTCATTACAATGGTGATTACTTTATGTGAGGAGTACAGCAGTGAGATGACTAGCAGGGCTCCAGTTTGATTGAACTAGGAAGTGTTTGGAATTCATATCATGCAGTCCTGGAATACATATATATTTTTCTCATGAACTAACAACAACAAGAAGAAAACAACAACAGAAAGCTCATTATGTACTGGACAGCTCTAAGGCAATTTAGCCACCTGTGTATCAGAATCCTGTAGAAAGAGATTGCTCTTAAAAAACATCAGAAACTCAATTTTTAAAATATATGTTTAAAAAAAAAAAAGGTATTGCTTCATTTGCTGAAATTTGAAATAGCTTCTAGCTCATCCAGAATGAAAAAGATTTACAACCAATAAAGAAAATGACTTTCCTTAAGTATATATTAAAAAGTATTTTACTTTTTAATAAATTAGAATTCTAATTGTTAATAACTAGCTGCTCTAGAAATAAATCTGGATAGCATTTCTTTCATTGTTTAAACAGAGAATAACATATACTGTGTAGTTAAAAGAAAACATAGATTTTTTTTTTTTTTAATGAAGGAGAAGTTAGTGGTTTCCTTCTATCTGGTTTTGTCAGTAGAAAAATGAGTTTAACTCTTTAGCATTTAATAATGTCTGTAAAAATCCTGACTCTTTTTTTTCTTCTTCTTTCAGAAGTGAAACCAACTTGCATATTTAACAGCATGGAATATTATGATGGAGACATGTTTCGAATGGATGCTTGTCGCTTCTGTCGGTGTCAAGGTGGTGTGTCTATTTGCTTCTCTGCCCAGTGTGGTGAGCTACACTGTGACAGGTATTATGTCCCAGAGGGAGAGTGCTGCCCAGTATGTGAAGGTACAGTACCTTTTCAATCCTTTTTTTTTGTCTGCTGCTTTTTTTATTTTGTCCTTTCATTGAAAATGAGTGAAGAAGTGTTCCATGTTGTTGTTCTAAAGTTCGTCAACTCCTTCTTAATTTGGTTTTTCTTTTACGTTTCTTGATATGATCTTAGATATGGTCATGTGTGCTGTACCTTTTGGGTGCCTTCTTCCCAAATGTTATATAAAAGCCATTCCTAATTTCTGCAGCAGAAATTACTCGTTTAGCTAATAATTTAGCCATCACTATGCTCCAAAACAGCAGCAGTGTGTCTCTAATTGTATCTATGGCTTTGCAGCCTGCTTTTTCCACTTATTGCTCTCTGTTCAGCTGAGCAGTGTTTACAATTATAGCAAAGAACCTGGGCAGTAATCTGGCTTCAGTGTTTTGCTGTTCCTCCCTTACCCTGTTGACAGCCTGCTCATCTGCTTGTTAGGCCTGCAGTCCTCCTAAAAAAAATCCTGTGGGAAATTTCACATTGACCCTCTTGCTTATACTGGAAAATATTTGACACATCGTCTGCCAGCATACAAACAGGATTCTGGGGGAGGAAGATGAGGGCTGGCGCTGTACACTTGGATCTTGCCCTACTGCGGGTCAGGGTATGGCCACAGCATAGAAAAAGGCCTGTGGTGCATTCCTGGTCTGTGTGGTTAAAAGTAAACTTAGCAGTGACATCTCAATTAGCAAAATACATTGGGAATCTCAAGTCTCCCAACTCAAATTTCTCACTTATATATGATTAGTTTTGTTGAAATGTTTACAGTTTTCCTATAGAATCTGTGAAGTTCAAAAAAAAAAAAAAAAACTTGGTGAAAAAAAAAAAAGAAAGAAAAAAAAAAGAAAAAGATCAGTAGATCTATGATACATTTTGTTTTGGAAAAGAAATTGGAAAATCCAAAAACTAAACATCATAAATAATCCAGTCATCTGTAGGTACATTTTCCTTTTCTCGATCTGCTTGTTAAATACAAAATTTTAGTGGAAATCTTTTAAAATAGGGCACTGAGTTTATGAATGTTCAGTATAAGCTGACTTAACATTTTCAACAGTAAATTTCAATATTGAAATATCTTATGTTGTTGCATATATTATTGTATCTCTGTATGCCACAGCATGATTCTTTCTGTTTGGTAGTGTCTTCACGTAACTCTTTTTAAATAATACAGAATCATGACATTGAAGCTATTCATACATGATATTTAGGCATAAGAAGAAATGTAATATTTCTTGTTCTGTTGCAATTTCTCTTATTTCAGACCCAGTTTACCCTGTAAATAATCCTGCTGGCTGTTACGCCAATGGTCAGATCCAAGCTCATGGAGACCGCTGGAGAGAGGATGACTGTACTTTCTGCCAGTGTATCAATGGAGATCCTCACTGTGTTGCTACAGCCTGTGGGCAGAGCTGTTTGAATCCTGTCAAAGTACCAGGAGAGTGCTGCCCAGTATGTGAAGGTGAGATCTGCATTTCTTTTGTTATACTTCATACTATCGTGGCTACTTCTGACATGGTAATTCCTAATTTACTTTATAACTTTGGAGGATTGAAGTAGCTGTCACAGCATTTAACAAATTAGTTGGGGAATTAATTAGCTGGGAATAAAAATAGATAATTTTTGAAATTCTAAATTACAGCATGGTTTAACTGCAAATGTATGTGGCCATATTCAGTACTCTTTTGGTCTAATATAGTAATCATTTAAGATTAGCGTTATTAACGAATTTCACTCCTGGCTTTTATTAAAGCTTATTAATAAGTATAGGAGGAATTAGAGGATCAAAATGTTCATCTACAGCTATTACTGATAATTGAATTGTTCCTAATTTCTTATTCATTGCTATCATTTAGTTACAATTCAAAATCTTCGTACAATATAACTTGAGAATGGACATAATATAGTATGAAAGAAACATTTTTTCAGTAAAACTTATATGGGATGATTATTAGGTAGGAGATGGATCTTGATTTTTAGAGTTTAAAATGTAATTACGTTTTGTGGAAATGTGCACAGTTTGAAAAGCAAACTAAGATTTTACCTTAGCTACATAGAATAGATTGCCTTGTGAGGTTGTGGATGACCCCTCTCTGGAGGCATTCAAGACCAGGCTGGACAGGGCTTTGAGCAGCCTGGTCTTAGAGGAAGGTGTCCCTGCCTATAGCGGGGGGGTGGGGGGGGTTGGAACTGGATGATTTTAAAGGTCCCTTCCAACCCACACCATTCTGTGATTCTGTGATATGGCAAACACCTACGCAACCTGTGCAGTGAAAATATGAACGTTTACAAAATGAATATATTTGAAAGAATCTGTATATTTCGCAGTTGCATTTTTGGTAGTAGTTGCTCATCATGAAAAATACAAAATCACTCAGTTTCTAAATCATAATTCTAGACCTGTCTTCAGAACTGTATTCACAGAACATAGATTCTTGCAGGGGAACATGCTCAGTGAGCTGCTGCTTATTTTTCCTTTTCCATCTCTGATGGAGTGAAATAAATTTTGAAGTGAATTTTGCATAACAGTTTGTCACCCTTCTTGGGTTGCAGTATCTGTCCAAGTTCACTGAGTAGTTGCTGCTTAGGAGAAATCTGTGGGGCAGAGACTTTTCTTGTTGATTCTTTTTCATGTCAAAATTCACATCACAGGATATGAAGAAGGTGTCTGATAACGTATAAACTCTGCCCGTGAAGTGATGAAAATAACTACCTTCACACTAAATGATGAAGAAAGTTAGCAAGTTTTAATCCCCAGTGATTCTCTCATTATGGGTATCACAGAGTATGTGCTATCACACTTAATGTGTATGTGAGTGAGCTAGGAAGCGTAGCATAGACAAGTAGATTTATCTAAGTATTTTCTGTATGTGGTGGTTTCTTCTCCAGTGGGAGGAGACAAAATGTCAGTGTGATGCAAGTGATACATGTAGTGTCAAAAAAATGGTGGGAAGCTGTCACTGGTAATGGCAGCAGTGGCAGCAACAGTCTCTGTGTGCTGAGAAGAACACGAGGCTCCTGAGGGACTGGTAAAAAGTGGGCTGAGCATGTGGACAGTTCAGATGGCAGGAGGCCACGTGGAACTGACCTGGGAATTTAAATGTTGTTTGGACATGGAATTCCAAACAGCTTGAAATGTGTAACTTTCTGAATGCGTGTGAGGAGTTGTTACTGGACTTGCAGAGAGGGTAATAATTTAGCTGCCCCCAGGCCCTCCCAGATTCTCATTGTCCTGTGGGTGCAGGAGGAGTTAGTCAAGTGAAGGGATCCAGATCGTTTTCACTGGAGCTGCCAAGAGGGAGAGCAGGAGTATGGGACAGGCATATGGAGGGGAGAGGTGTAGCACTGCAATATCGCAGGCTCTACATTGTGTTAGTCTTCAAAGCCATGGACAACCTTCCTTGAGTTACACTGTAGTTAGCATCTGCTAGCATCCATTCAGTTCTGTTTGATGTTTTCACTAGGATACCTGCAAACTCAGTGGAAACTGAATTAGTTTCCAGACAACACAACTGGAAAGGGCCACCAGTATCTTGGAGAGCAGAGAATGAATTTGTTTGTTTTAAAGCAGAAACTGGAAAAATGTTGGCTGAATTCAAGAAGAGAAAATCTACTGGACTGTGTTTGGAGGAGGTACTTCAATAGTCCTGACTCAGGGTAATTGTTACATAGTCAATTTCTAGGAGAAGTCTGGTGATGAATGAACAGAAATTCAAGATAGATTAGCAGAGCTTTGAGAAGGCAAGTGCTGTACTGATATTAAGGTTACAAGTACAGTTTGCAAGATGCCAAGTCTTATCTCTTTGCTATGGGTAAGTCCCTAGCTGACATACTAAGTCCTCAGTCCTTTCTTATACATTCCTCCAAAAACCATGTGGACAAACTGACAAGAGTCTGAACAGGAGTTCTGAGCATAGTTTGTGTTCTGAAAAGCACATCATAGGAGGACAGATTGAATAAATTGGGTTGGTTTACTTTAAAGGAAATTATGACTGGAATGAGAAGATAGCAGCCTTCAAGTGCCTGAAAGGTTGGTGCAAAGTAAAGGCAAGCAACATATTCTGCAATATCTTCTGAAAATAAATAATTTGAGTTGCAAAAGGGAAGATGCGTATTAGAGAAAGGTAGATAGTTGTTGAGTAAAACAAAATTCCTCCTGTGGAATGTTTTGACTGAGATTGTCATTTTGCTTCATTTAGGGAACCGCATTGTTTGTATTTTCAGCCTCAGTGAGAGGAGATGCTCTCAGGAAATTGCATACATAACTGAAAGTAGTTATAATAGCTGATGTGCAGTTTTCAGTGTTTATGCAGGTGATAATAGTTACTTAACAATATACAGTTGTTTTCTTCTTACAGTAAGCATAGAAGTGATCAAAGACGTTTGGAAAGACCTTTGGTTACGCTATCCCCACCCTTCACTTCTTGCCAGTTTTCCAGTATAGCAGTGCACATGGATTGTACTTGTGCAAGATGTGCATAGGTAGAAGCCTGGGATGGAAGCAGAGGGTGGCTACTTCGAGGTAAGAGTGTCTGAGCAGGAGTGAGAGAAAAAGCAAGGGCCGCTGATACGGCATGAAGATAGAGAGGACAGCGTGGGGAACAAGACAGGGCAATATCAAACACTCATACTAGATGATAAGAAGCTGCAAAGCTGGTGTAAGATTGCTTTTAAAGATGAAGCCCAGTGCCTTGCTAAAATACTTTGAACAGCTTTGTTCTCCTTCTGGAAATGGTTGCTTTCTCCCCTTGCAGAAAAGAGATAGTTCCAAACAAAGCCCAGATGTTTTCTGTATCATTTCTTCCTTCATCAGCAAGCCCCTATCCTTGAGCTCTTTAGTCTACGCTGGTTTTCGAGGCAGCCACCTCCTTTCACCTGTCAGAGCTGGGAAAAGCAAGTTCTGTGGATCGAACACAAAGAATTAGTTTTAAGCTTCTGATGGATGTTCCTCTAGAACTTCTGTAGCTGCTGTAATGATATTGGTGCTTAGGGATTTGCTTTTGTTTGTTTAATCTATTATCTACTTAGTCTGTTTTTTCTTTCTTTGTTTTCTAGACTGTCTTCATAAAGAGCCAAGGTTTAGGTAATCACACTAGCCCTCTGTGCTTTCCTCACAGTTTTAGAGCCAATGGTCACTTACAGTGCACAGAAATCTCGAAGATAACACATTCCTACATATTTAATGAAAACAGACAGGTAGTTAGAAGGGACAGAGTGCAAAGTTTTGGGATGAACTCATACTTTTTTACTCCTGAGGTTCTTCATGGAAGCTGGTTTGGGTGCCTGTCCTATTGTAGGAAGTGGATCCATAGGGAATCAGGCTTTTGTTAGTTCTGCTTTGCCTGAAGCTGTTTGCTTCTCTTTTGGATTAACATTTGTTTTAGTTCCTAAATGTTTAAGCAGCAATTCCATTTTTAATGAAGTTTTTAAAAAATTGGATCCTACTGGAGCTTCAACTAGCTATTAATGTCAATGTGTAATAGCATGTGAGTAACACCAAACAAGCTACACTGACATAAATAACCATGCCTTCCTCAGGCCATCTGCAGACAGCCATCTGCAAATAGGAGTAATAGTTGTATTCACAGGAAGTGAATATTGAGTAGAGTATTAGGAAAATGCTTGGTTCTTTGAAAAGAAGAGAATAAACACAAGTGCTGAGAATTTGGCATCAATACCAAAAATGTCTCCTAAGAACGTTGAAGGCTTCCTACGTTCCCTTGTTTCTCCCACTGGCTCAGGCTACAGATAGGGAAAACTTGCAGCCAAGTCAGTTGATGTACAGTAGTTGGCTGTTACCCAGTGAATCGTTCTGCGTGAAAGCTCTCAGGTACAGGTGGAAGGTTTCCAGCATAAGCTATGAATGAGAAATTAAGTGTTAGACAAAGTCCCCTCAGAGGACTTTCATGAATAAGGAGTGCATTACTTCGCTGTCATAATGGCTGACACTTTATCTTTGCAAAAAGAAATTAACATTTTCATCAATAAAGGGCTCCAAACTGTAGCTGAGAAGTAATTCAGTTCAGTTCCTTTAGTGTGTCCAACACATCATTAAGTAAAAAAAGGCACCATAGTCCCATGAAAAGAAATTTGATTCATTCACGATGAAGTCAGTAGTAGAGAACAGTGTTCACTGGCATAGGATTTGGACCCAGACATCTACTTAGAGCACGAAGTGCAAGTTATTGTTCAGTGTCAGCACTGTAGGTCTGGGTGGGTCTTTTCATCAAAGTCAATTAAGAGATTCAAATGCAGTGCTGTAGAGAATTGAGCTTCCTTTTGCCAGATCATGATTTAGTACAGCTTTTTTAGGCAAGACAAGACAGCAGAGATTGTTTAACCATGCAGCCCAGGGTGCCCTGAGAGATATTCTGCTAATAAAAGTCTTTGCATTTAAGAAAGTCAGGAATGCTAGACGGATATAAAATAATCTTTTCCTTCTTTTCACTGATAAAGTTCATT